TTCCGCAGTCAAGTGAACAACTCCTTTGGTTAAAACACCTTCAAGTGCTCCGACTCTTTCACCTTTCGGTTCCATCGCCATTTTTCCTGGGAATTGAGTTAACTGCAAACCAATGTCAGAGTGTGTTTGATAGTTCCCTGAAAGCGATCCACCAACCATATTCTCCCAGCAACTTTAAAAGATTACGATATATATATATAGTGTTTGTGCTATTACCTGCAACAGTCAGTAAACATTTATCACTACTTTTGGACAAGGCCTTTACTAACCATCATCATCCACTGTTACAGGTAATAGGATAATAGTAATAACAATAATAATATATATACATACATTGACATCAAGAACGATGATTTCTTCTGTCCTTTTGCATGTGTTCATTCTACACCCCTATCTCCCAGGTCATCCATTTCATTGCCCCGCAGTGAACTGCCAGGCCAGCGGAAAAGGCCTAACCATTTCCATGGTTCGAGGCTGACCTGAACCATCCTGGGCCTGAAAAAGGTATCTTATAAGTTTATATTGTAAACCATTTTACGGGCCTTCTTTTCCCGTCCCCTCCCTCCCCTCAAATCTTGCACTGTTCGTCACGACAAGAAACGCTTCACCCCGTGAACCAGGCTTCACATTTACACTTCGGACTCTGAGGTAACGAAGCCTGGTGCGTGGAGAACTTGGGCTTTGCGAAGCCTTTAGTGTTGAGGCCGCGCTATCAACCGGCAGAGAACCGCACCCACTCGGCTGTTCATGGATTTCCCCTGTTTGCTGGTGTGAACATGGTGGACCCCAGTATGCAAGGCCAATCACAGTCAAGGTCTACTTCAGGTTGTCGACTTTGAGTGGGCAAATGAATGAGATTGATTCAAAACAATACCACGAACTAACCACCAATGGTCCCAATAAGCACCAGTACTTGGGATATGATTTTCTTGCCAGACTCAGTTCCTTTGCCCATCCGTCCATCCGCGTTTGTGGTGCAGGTTGCTGCCGGATGGGTCTTTGGAAGAGCCCACGGAGCTTCGGTTGGTGATCCGGCCTGACGGGCGTTTGGAGGTGGAGAGTGAGATAGGCAGGACCGGGCGGGGCGAGTTTCAGGCTGGTTGGGGTGAGTTACACTCCAAAAAGAACCAAAAACTAAACATGGACCAAGTGGACATCATGTTCGTAGAGGCAAGTAGTCTTCGAAGGGTTCATGATTCCCTTCAATGTTTGTTTTTGGAGTGTAGGTTGGGAATGATTGGGACTGTTCGGACTGTTAGGACAAAGAACTTGTGTTTCTTGAGAGTTGTCTCTCAGATCCACATACCTCTGCAAGGTCGGGACGGATCCTCCAGTCACTCACCTCAGAGGGTGTCAGTGAATCCCTGGGGGGCCCTTGGCCATGGCCTCCAACCTAATAGCCGTGGCCTCCAACCTACTAGCGATGGCCTCCAACCTCATATCCATGGGCATGAAAGGTAAATTTTCCCTTCAAGACATTGTCGTTCACAAGTCGAAGGGCTTGGAGAGGCCACACGGCCACACGTAAGAAAACCACTTTGCAGTCAAGTCTTGGATGATTGGCTAGGCCCGGTGGAGCAATCACAGAGAGTTTCCTCCCAGCACAATTCGGGATCAAGTTGGTGCTGGAACATCTCCCTTGAGAAAGTGCTTGTTTCGGTCCCGTTGTTGGAAGAAATTGTGGGACCAGGATGGCCATTCGACAGGAGGTGTTCGAAGTCCTAATTTGAGATGTGGGGCGATGCGAGCTGAGCAGGTCACTTTATTTTTTGTTCGATGGGTCGAAGAACAAAAGGCTCAAGAATTCTGAGGAACATGATCCAATCACAGCCACCGAGGTAGCTTTTAGTTTTATTGCTCAGGCTGTAAATGGGCATTTCGGGTTCAGTTGATGTTTTGGGGGTTAGTTTTTTTGTGCGTTCTGTGGGTGTCTACAGCGAGAAAGCAGCAGGTGTTTGTGGTGGGGTTGTAGGGTTTGACTGCCTTATAGGAGGACTAAACTCTGCGGAGTTCCAGAGTATAAAACTGTTGGTCAAGCAGCAGAAGTGATACTGTAACCTGACAATCCCTCAGCAGCCTCATGTTGCCTCAGTAGACCCATGCCTATTTTCATGTTGATAATAATTTGACCATGACCGTGCCAGAATGTCGTCAACAAAGAGGTGACCGAGGAATAATACCGTGACCAGTTGGGAGACCAGTTGGGAAACAAGTGGCATTTCTAGATTTGAACACCGTTTCTAATTGGGGACCACTACCTATAATGTCACAACTTCTTGACAGCCAGATCCTTCCTCGGCAACTTGTTTTCCTCGCAGGCAGCGACCCCGAAGACAGCATCATCTCCGTCCACGTGGAAGCTACACTGGTCACCAAGAGCGGTGGCTGGAGTGCGAATCGCCCTGAGCAGGAGCTGTTCGTGCTCAAGCCGTTCCAGCCGGGTCGGAGGTAAAGATCAGATCAATGGTTGTCCAATGCATCCATGGTCATCGATGCATGTCGTCCCTTCCACGGTCCGTTTGGTCCATCGGGTAGGAATGAACCATGGATTGTGCGCATCTGGAGAGGTGCTGTATGGACTGTACGGGAGTATATATATACATATATATATATATATATCAAGAGTAATTATAAGTGTATACAGGTGTCAAGGGTTTCGGACATCAACAAGTCTGAGTATATAACCCTGGATCTTCTTGGGTGTGCCATTCTATCAGCGATCCTTTTTGGAAAAACTAGCAGATGTGATTGCCATTAACTTGAAGCCTTTCTTGCAGTTCAGAAATCGTTGTGCGATTTGATACACATCATAGTACATCATAGAATTGAAACGGGGACCTTTCCCAGCCAAACCCCCACTTCTGGCGACACGATTTAAGCAACGTATGCAAAGCGGAGAAACGGCACTTTTGAACTGACAAGGCAATTTTGACAAGAACGACTGAACTTGTGTTGTTGCATGATGTTGCACTACACAGCACTGAAAATGCACTCGTGGAAGGTCCAAAAACTTCCCATGCTTACAGATCACTTATCATCGACATAAGGTATCATCACTTGTTTGCATCAATGAGAAACATATCAGAGGTTTGAGAGTGGAACAGCTTTTTCCCTGCAAGAGCTTTAGCGCTATCACCTACGAAGCAAAGCACATTTGAGAGTGAGGGTAGAACAATATGACCATATATGACCCAAAATCTGATCGCCGATAAATATCAGAAATATGCACGGTGTTCCAGACAGAAATGTCTTCCGCTACCTCCAGTCACCACCTGATAGGATTCCTTCAACTTGGACAAGCTTCGTGAGCAATGCCACTGGGAGACAGCTGATGAGAGGGTGTGGGTGTTGTTCGAGCAACCCGCACAGTCGCAATTTACTTGCAATGACTAGCCTTTCTAGTTCCAAGTGTGCGAGTTGCAGCCTGCAGGACTGACATCCAATTTCCATTGTTGATACTTGTAAAGCAGGGTTTTATCCTCACGACCAGGCTCCAGGCGCTTCAAAACTCCATCATACAACCATCACTATCACAACGCCAACTTTTGCAGAGGGCGAGGGAGGCCATCCCCACAGCTAGGCCCAGAGGCGGTGGACATCGACCTCATGTACTCCTTTGGCCGAAAGTCTGGCTTGCCCTTGCAGCCACGTTTCCGCACCGTGCGGCATGTGCAGAAAGGCTGGATTCAAGGGCTGGCGTGGCCTTGCGGAGTTCGGCCGGTTCGGCAGGTTCGATGGTACTTAACATTGCCTTCTACAAGATATCTGTATCCGCCTTAACCTTACAAGTGGTGATCTTATATGATTTGGATGTGACTGTCATTTCGACTGTTGCAGGTACTGTCCTCCCTCCATACGTACCATTAGGATCGATTAGGTGATTTGAAGTTTTTGGTTGGTGTCAAGGTTTTGGATCTCTCTGAAATACATTTTCTGGGATATGAAACGTAAAAATTGCGTTCCAGAGAGCATCCATCGTCTAAGCCCCCGAACCTTTGGGATTTGGGACTGACAAAAGCAACTCCGCTGGAAAAGAATCGTAATAAATCTGTATAGATGGTGTCATCTCTTTTTGGGCAGTCCCTTCCGGCCCTAGCAACCGTGGGAGATGTCGTGTTTGAATCTGCGTGGCGGCTAATCCAAATGATCCAACTGGGCCAGTGCAACAACCCCGGGCCTTGCATGTTTGTATTGGCCTGCCCCTTAACACTACCAACGCATTGCTGGCCAAGAAAACAATAATAAGAGCAAAAACACATAAACGAGCTTATATATCCTCCAAAACGATTGCCAAAAACGATAACGAAATATCAAAAGATGCGAGCGCTTGGGAGGATACCGACCGGTTTGAGCATATCACCTGTTGAAGGAAAGTGAAAGGACATGAATGCAGAATGAAAGGAAAATGAAAGGAAAAAAATGCAAAATGAAAAGAACATGAATGCAAAATGAAAGGAATATGAAAGGAAATGAATGCCAAATGAAAGGAAATGAAAGGAACATATTACATTTGTTGATTTTCGACCAAGGATGCTTTCACACCAACAGAAAGCTGGAAATTTCACATTTCTAGTACAGAGAATCCGCCGCCTGAGAAAACGATAAGAGTAGAAAAACGACAACATGACTTCTGGACATTGCAATAAGTGATACGGGTGTTTAACACTTCCCCAATTGTTGTGTCACGCACAAATCGAAGGGACCGTACAACCCATTGAAGCTGAGGCTCTTGTCACAAGTAGTCATGTTTTTTAATCGAAAGATAAACCTCTCAGTCCCTCAGTCGTCTCCATTTTAGAACCTGGCATAGGGCGCACGACGAAGTAGAGTTTCTAGGTCTATCCTTTGGAACTGGTGGAGCTGTTCCCTCCTGCGAATGCTTGTTTTACCCTTTCCAGTCCCTTCGAGCCTCAAAGAGGCTTTCCTGTGTTTGGCCCTGACAGACGAACCAAAAATTCCAACGACATTGAGAGAAAATACACGTGACGTCCACGGGGGTACTTTTCATCGCCCCAAAAACACATCTTGACTTGGGACTTGTCCTCCAGGTGACCAGGAGTCCTTCGGGCGCCTGGAGATGGAACGTGATGGCACGCAACAAGGCGGACCGGGCCATGAACGAAATATCCACAGCGCCTGGAACCTTCTCCGGACCTGTGGACCTGTTGGGACGGATCTTTCTCGAGGGTGTCTCCTGCCGTTTTGGGTCGGACACACCGACAGTTCAAAGTTGTTGAGTGTGTTTTGCGAGCAGTCCTCGTGTGTGTGTGTGTGAAACGCAAGGAACTAGCAATTGATAGTACAACACCCTCCCCATGAAGCGTTTAAAGGACTGAAAATGATGAATGATTGGCAATTTAGATCAAAAGCGAGCAGACGTGACTTGTTCCCAAAGCCAACTGCTGTTCTTGTGGCCTGAGAAGTAGTTGGACCCTCCTGCCACCTACCTACCACACATCCAAAACCACCGTTCATCTCAGAGTGTGGGCATGAAAGGTAAATCTTCCATGTGGAGTAAAAATTGCTGTCCAGAACGGCTTCAAGAGACGACAAGATGCCGATGTTTCGATGCTGGTGCCACATGATTTGGGCGCCACTCCAACCAACTTTGCACTCCATAAAATACTCCAAAAACATCCTTAAAGTAATCTCCTCACCAATGCGCAAGCCTCTTACAAACTGGCTTGCAGTTCCAGCCAATCAATACTTGCTTGTAGGGAGAAAAGACTCGCGACGACTACTCAGAACTGGAGGTACGAGGTCAAAGCATCCAAAACTATCCAAAACTAATGTGATTCCCGTGCAGCGCGTTTGGGCGAGGCTTCTGGCTGGGCCCCTCGTTGATCGATGGTTCCTTCCAAGCATCAATGGCCTTGGCCGACGCCGCCGTGGGCATCGGTGCCTTGACCACCCCCGAGCGCAAGTTCAAACCGCTGCTGTGGGCGGGGAAACCGATGGAGATGATCAAAGCGTTTGGGGAACCAGTTCTGCAACACCTTCCAATTGCATCTATATGTACCATGTAGAGTTCGCCGAAGATAGGTATTAACCTGCCCAATAAATCAACCCAGCCAAACCGACATATTGCCGGGCAAACGTACAGGAAAAGCAACAAAAAAGCGAGGAAAGGACCTTAGTAAAGCGGCCCTTGATTTCTCCTTTTTTGCCCTTATGTCAAGGAGAGACTCACGACATTTGCTGAGGAACCTTGAAGATTCCACTCTCCATCCGACGGCTGCAGCCATGCGGACGTAAGTGGGGGTGCCCGGCTTTCTTTGGTCGCGGCTTAGGGCTGCGGGTGTGGGGGCCGAAGTGACCGCTAGAGAAAAGCACGTGGAATCATCAACACCGTTGGCACCACTCCAAGAAATCTGCACGTGTGCGTAGTGTGGTTGATGCAAGCTTTCATTGGACAGATGGTGCAAAGGTCGAAACTCCCGGCAGAATGCCGGGGGAGAGGGCCCTCGAGTCCTACGGCTAGGGCTCGGATTGTGTCTAAGTCTAAGTTATGCGTTTGTTAAGCGATACAGATTCAGTGCTAGCATGTTCCCGTAGAGGAATGGAAGCACAAATTGAAGAACAAGTCCAGTGATGTCAAGTGTCTATCCCGTACAGACTAGAAAGAAGGACATGGTCAGACCTTCAAAACAGCGCATGACCGTTTATCTCATCAATCCTGCTTCGCTCCACCATTGTTGTACACCCCTACAATGAGAGGCACAAGTGCTTCCATGCGGTTCCTCAGTGCTGCTGCACAATGCAAGAATACATTGCCAGAGAGAGAAAGCCAGGGTTAACCACGTTTGACCAACATGGAAGCAAACAGTTGGATTTGATGTCAATCATGCCTCCCACGTTCGACCACAATTCTTCTTCATTCCAAACATGTCCGATCTACTCGTCACTTCTCTAGACCCTTGGCATCAGCGGTGATCCCATGGCCCACGACGCTTAGGTACTCGATTGCAGTGTGGTCCTACTTCCAGTTGATCGATTTCACGGACCGTTGGGTGGGTGTTTGATTGATTTTGATTGGGGGCATCATGGGGCATCAATTGCAGAATCCAAAGACATGATCAACCAGCGCAGTCAAGGGGCTCATGATTGAAAGGACCGTTACCTTCGTCACCGAAGAAAGGCCGGCGATCTTATGCATACCAGGCATCATTCAAATCATTTTGGAATATTGACGTATATTGACTATGTTCCTTGGCCTTGTTTTTGATCCTCCTCTATTTGGTCCGATCCATTGGCTACTCCTGCCTTTGCCGTCGTTTGCCGCTTGTAGGGACTGCTCGATTCTTGCCCAAAGACATGGATTCAGCGACTTCCAATCGCCTGGGACAACCCACCGCAGAAAGTCCACCCCAAAACGCATTTCACGGCGAATTGCACCAGCGACGACAAGTGCTGCCCCAGGACAAGAGCACAGTTTTCCGCTCTTGGCTTTTGAATGATGCAGGCCAGCTTTAGCTGCCGTGTAGGTGTCCCAATGGTGTAGGAGCCTTGCAGTTTAATTTGTTTTCACTGAGTGAGTTGGTTTATCATGTGAAAGTTGTTCTATATATATATATATATAAGTGCACTTTCAATTTGAACGTTTGGGTTGGTGTTTAAGGATATACAGTGCCTGGTTATTGAGGAGGTCGTGTGACCATGTCGCGCATGTGTACGTTCACCAGCACAGGGGAGGCCTTGCTGTACTTCGACCATGTGCACCTGCAAGAAGTCCGTGGGGCACCCTGGATACTGGGTGGACGATGGTGGTACTGACTTGTGAGGACATACTTTGGGAGAAGCTCCCACCTGGCAACAGTGTATCAGAATCAAAGCTATTGTCTTATATTTGTTAGTTATTCTCTTTTGAAGTAGAGTAGAGGCCCACTGTTGGCCCACACCATCGATTGTTTCCGGGGATTTGCCACTATTTGCAATCATTGACCACTCAAACCAGCCAGATCTAGATTCTAGATCAATCTTCCAGTTTGATGGATCCTGTACCGCTCCAGATATGGGGTGCTGACACTCCTCCAGAACCAATCGTTCGACTAGCCAGACAAGTTGGATTGGAACTATATAGGTGTTGGTGCCGAGGATGATGGAGATCGACCGTGCCTGAACCTTTTGCACAAAGCCGCAAAGCCGGTGCAACTGAGAGGAACAAACCCTGCAGTAGTTTGGCCACCGACAACATCCGACGACCATAATATCTTGTGGAGTTGAATGAATTGTATATTTGCAACAAAGCTGACATCACAATCCAAGAAGGGGGGACGCAGGGCACTACAACATCAGTGAGTCCAACGTGGCAATGAAATGGTGTGGAAACATGATTGATTGAACGAGGAAAGAACCCAACTTATTATGTCAATATACATGTTGTCCAAAGACGAGGGATCCAGTTCAGATGACACGACCCAACAGAACCATGTCAGGGTCCTTTTCCCAAAACCGTCTCCAAAGAACCCCGTCCCGACTGGCCAATGGCGGCAGCCATGGGCAGAGGCGGAATTCAACCTCATCGCTCGGCAGAGGCTAATAACCCAAGGTACTGGAGCCGCTTCCTTTGTTGCCGCAGGGGCTGCGAGTTCATCCGGGTAACTCGAATGCCATTCGTCCAGACACTTCACCTACATGTGGTCCACGTGCTGGATTTCGCAGTAATGTGACTCATGTGATGTCATATGATACAAGGTTGAGAGTTTCGCGACAAAGCCAAGTGGTCCTTGGTCATGCGAATTGTTCAATCATTTGGTTGAGGAGTGTGGGAGCAGTTTCGTCCTTTTTGCTCCACCAGCACCAACGAGCCGATGTTCAGTATTGTTTGTTGCATGATTTAGTGATGGAGGTGACTCCACATTAAACCATGTTTTGAGATGTTTAGAGTCAAGAAGTAGAGCTTGGGGAAGCACAGACGTGTCACTGATGAATTGCACCTTTGACGAAGATGCGATTCTCTTAGCATGCAAAGTGTTTACCATCATGTAAACAGAATCGGCTGGTCGGACCAGCCTTTGATCGTCATCCTCAAGTGGCCGTTGATCAGGACTTTGATGAGGAAGACGAGGAAGACGAGATGGAAGTGGATTTGAGGCCCAAGCGTGGAAACATCGTTATTTCTGAGGAAGAGCTTCATGGCTGGCCTGCTCGTCGAATCGCAATTCGGTCATTCGGGCAGCTGGATGTAGATGTCGAGTATCAAAGTGCGTTCCATGAGAGTCCTGGAAGAAGTGCGAAAAGAGATGAAAAAAAAGATCAGGTTCCCTCTAATATATAAGGCCGCCTTCTATTTGTTATCTCTATTTCATTCTCTTTTCACCTGTTTGCCAAACTTTGGAACTTCCACATGATACGAGCATCTGGACTGTTTGGGAAACCGCAGAGTCGTGGACCTGTTCACTGTGGGGGGAGGGTGATGTAAAAACCAGACTCTCAAAGCTGTATACCTGGTATACCTCGTTTAGATATGCTTTGATGTGCCAAGTTGAAATCAATTGTTGGTGTTTGAATGTCTTTTGAAAACAACAGACATGAGAACGAGCGACTAGACTCTGTCCGGAAGATATTTCACCTTGACTTTCGCGGACACGTAAAGCGACATTTGAGACCACGCTTTCGCCCATCAAGAAAGCTGACTTTGTAATCATAAAGTCCCTTTGATTCCGGAGTATTGAGAGGTTTCTGCAGTCCTTCCGTCGTCTTCATTTTGCATTCGGAAGTCTGAGGACCGTCTGCCATTGTGCAAGTCACGGCAAGTCGGACATGGGATAGTTCAATGACAATGGAACAGACTATTCGATAACACGTCTTCAGTCCCTGACTTCACACTCGAGTTCGACGATGCACTTAGCATTGATTTCGTGCAGAGATTCACGATGCATCCTCAGCGTATCTATAATGCAGTCAACCGTAGTTAAGGAACTGGGGCTTCTAGGTATACAATTTGGGTCTTTGGAAGCACTGGATCCACTGTGTAGCTTAGGGATACAGATTCAAGTGCAGGTTCGAGGATTCTGTCGGGTTCAGTCAGTCCATTTCTCGAAAACCACAGCCTGTGTATTGAGTCCGAGTGGACGAGTTGATGCTCTTGGAATGCAAGGTTCGAAAGCCTCCAACGCTTCATTGCACAAATGATGCAGAAGACGCGACGCTCAGAGCTTCTGTATTTCCTCGCGGTGCCCAGCATTGCCACCATTGGCGGATTCTTCACAACGGCAGAGGATGGATTTCCCTTCATCTTCTACGCAATGTATTTGCCTTTGCTCGTGATCAGCAAGTCTTTGGAGGTCTTCTTGCTGAGAAGATGGCAGCAGGTTGATCTGACATCTGCTGAAATCCAAACACAACAGTGGGAGAGCATGGGCTTTGGACACCCCATTGCTTTGCTGTGTCTTGGCTATTGGAGACCGCAGGGGTGTTCTCCCCAGAAGGACTTGATGACTAAAGGATACGTACTAAAGGCATCCACAGATTAACATCAGTTAACATCCCTTAGGGGCTCAAGACCAACAACATTTTTGTGCACACCCTACAAAAGAGATTCACGTGTCAGATGACACTTCATTGAGTGGTTCATTTCATCTTCCTTCGCTGTCGCAACCCGTGCGCAGGATCTGTGGCTCATTGGAGCACGCGGATTTGTTCTTGGATGTCGTTTTCATAGCGACCAGTGCCAGCTGTGGTTATGCCGCCCGAACAGATTGCTTAGCTTTGGCGTCCCCAAGCATTTCCCATGAAACGTCCCGACTGGCAGAGACTGGTGAATTCTTGGTGTAGAGATAAGGGATGATCAAAGGAAATTGAAGCACACGTCGTCGCTTCTTCCTGAAAGTTGATTTTCAAGCTATAGTCATACTATAACTGAAGTTCGGGTAGTTTGATGAACGTTTGGAATGTCTTTGATGCTGTTATTTGCCGCTTGCCTCTTGTTCCCGAGAATGTCCAACAAGTACTTAGCCAAAATGTTTGCTCGGGATAGTATATAGTCGGGAAAGTGGAAAGCTTCACATTTTGCCTTCAAGACATGCAAGGATGAAGCACTTTGTTGGGTCTAAACATGTTCATGCCACAGCAATCCACAGCACATCTTTACTGGTGCGTCCCTACCTCCAGCAATATCATTGCAAGCACTTGGCACAACTGAGGGCTTACATCAGCGCTGGATGTCAACGTGTGCGTGCAAATTAGATTAGTATTAGTATGTGGTGCGTATGCGCATTCAATCTCATCTCTTACACCAATGCACTCTTGATTACCTGTAAAGCATCGTGCATGGGATACCTTCCTAAACTCACTTTCATCAGCCCTTCCAATATTACATTATAAATGCTCTGAGCACAATATTCAGCAGAATATATGCAGGTACATGTCAGTATGTAACGTTTATCGTGCGCAATTACTCCACTCCAAACTGTGCAAGTAACCGGACTCAAAGCTCATGCCCTGATGATGGAACTCACAGACATTTGCACTTGTTATATAACACATATCAACCATGTTGCTGGCAGCCTGGCAACTAGTAGGCACCTTTTGGAAGATATCTACACACACACCAGAGGCATCAAGAGTTTTTCTAGACCTTTGCACACCGGCTATACCATAGGGATTGTAATTTCTGTGGTGTTGTTCTTGTTGTTCTTATCCTTCTCGTTGTGGTCGTGGTCGTTGTCGCCGTCATCGTCGTTGTTGTGCGCGCAATGCACACGCCAAGAACACCATCGTTGAAGCAAAGCGTGGGATCTTTTTGAACCTCCGCAAGCCAAAAATAACGGTATGTATTTACAAGATGTTGTTTTCCACTAGGAGCTCAAAAACACTGCAAATGTTGTTGGACGTCAGTAAGTCAGTAAGCCAAAAATTACGGCATTTATGAGGTTGTTTGGCAGCAGGAGCCAAAAACTAGCTGAGGCAGTAAAAGGAACTCAAAGAGTGGTCTTTGGGTTGACCTTTTTTCACTAGGTAGCAGATCCTTGGTAAACCGATCAGGGGTAACAAACCATAAGGCTTGGCTTAGGCATGGAAGCGAGTGATCATTTTACAGTGTGGGGGTGATAGATCTTTTGTGCTCTGAGTTTATTGAGTCTAAGTGTTGTTGAGAGTGTCCTTGTGATACGATCCACTGAGATTCATCATCCTGTTTTTGGGCCTGTCGCTCTTGCTGGCCTTCCAATACATGTTCTCGGACAGCCCAGTCGAGTCTGGCCGACTTGGCAGAACCAAAGGCAGAGAGACAGCAGGAACCAAGTCACGAAAGAACAAGGGGGTCTAAGGTGTCTTAGCCGACGAGCTTCAATTTTGGAGACCAAAGATAGCCTGTTTGTGCTCATCTGATTTCACCAGAAACTCATTCTTTCTTCGCACCATGTCAGTGCCTCGCGCCCCAACTTTGTGCATGGTGGGGCTTTGTGGCGCACAGATGAAGAAAGAGCCACAATGGTCGCGGTGGTGTGGAAAGTGGCTTTGCTACTGTGTTGCTGGCCAAGTCATCATGCACATTCAGCCTTTCAAGATCTTCACCGAGTTCTTCCGTTTGTGTGCACTAAGCATCAAGGCCCTTTCCTGCCAGTCAGGCTTCCGAAGCAGTCACCCTTGAAGGGCGCCGCCGACAAAGTCATCACGTGGAAGTTTAGCCCCCGTGCACGCAACGTCCAAAATATATCCACTGAAATGCGTTGGGCTATTTCCTTTTCACTTTTTCATTGCAGCTCCACGCAACAATTTCTTAGAGCTTGGCTAGGGCTGTTGGCTCTTCCTCGCGACGCCCAAACTGAGCACCACTGAAGCGTCTGCGCTGAGTCTGGACTCCAGCTGGCACTTCACAAGCTGCTTGAGCAAGCTCATGCCAGGAAAGGCCGGCCACAAATGGTTTTCGGGTTACGAGTTTCATTTTTGGGGCGCGCCGCTTCCCTGCAGCAGACCGGCTTGCGAAAATGAATTTTGGGCCGCCGAAATTCATTTTTGCGGCCCCAAGAGGAAAAGAAAAGCGCCAGGCCAGAATTGAAGCTGGCACGCGGGCATGTGAGACCATTGCTTCTCCAACTGAGCTCTCTTTGTTTCTGTTGGCGGGGGGCGGGACTGCCCACCAATGCCTACGCATGAGATGCGCGGGCGTCAGACGCAGCTTTCCAGCGCCTTGGCGGCGGTCGAAATTCATGTTCATAAGCTGGTCTGCTGCGCGCCCAAAAATGAATTTCGCAACCCGGAAATCATGTCTGGCCGGCCTTTCCTGGCATGAACTTGCTCAAGCAGCTTGCGAAGTGCCAGCTGGAGTCCAGACTCAGCGGAGACGCTTCAGTGGTGCTCAGTTTGGGCGTCGCAAGGAAGAGCCAACAGCCCTAGCCAAGCTCCAAGAAATTATTGCGTGGAACTGCAATGAAAAAGTGAAAAGGAAATAGCCCAACGCACTTCAGTGGATATATTTTGGACGTTGCGTGCACGGGGGCTAAACTTCCACGTGGTGACTTTGTCGGCGGCGCCCTTCAAGGGTGACTGTTTCGGAAGCCTGGCTGGCAGGAAAGGGCCTTGATGCCTAGTGGCCTAGTGCACACAACGGAAGAGCTCGGTGAAGATCTTGCAACACAGTAGCAAAGACCATTGCGGACCATTGCAGTTCTTTCTTCAGAACCGCGGTGGTAAAGGGGAGCAATATGGAGCAAGGATCAAACAGCTAAAGCACTAGCTAAAGAGTTTATTCTGCATCTGTTTCTAAAAAGTTTTACCAATCAATCACTTTGTAAATCTTATATTGTCATCTCGGGTGTCATTGATACAGTGGCTTGCTATGGGTGTTCATGAAAGTTGCTGCAGACTTAGGCATGAAGATGCCACAAAGGCAACTAACCAACTGGTTATCTAACTAGTAGTGCTGCAGCAGACTCTGCAGCAGCTGCTGCAGCAAGCTAGCACCATGGGCACTCACCATGAGTATGCAAAAACGATAAGGTTTGTTCCTGGTCAGCCAAACCTCACAAAACGATAAAGAGTAGAAAAACGATAACCCTACACGAGACATCTTCCAAGTTGATGATTTTTTAAACAACCTCAGCTTTTTAAAACAGTGTTTCTCACCTTGCTGCTTCCCAAAACACTGAGATGCACGCAGTTTTGAGCATGGTGCTAGTAGTGACATGTTCACTGAATTATTGCAAAAACTGTGTAATGCGCAATGTGTTCTCATCTGAGCGTCGCAAAAACTTTTTTAACAAATCAAAAAATGAGTTCCAACATCGGCAACATCGGCCTTGAGAAGCACTTATGAGGCTAGGCTGAAGTTAGTTTTTCTGCGAACGAAGTGAGTATTGGAGGCACCGAGCGCACCCCACGCAGCTGAAGCTAACTAGCTGCTCGCAACGTATCAAAGTACGGCATCACCGGCAATATATCCTAGTAATTTCTTGTTCCTACTAGTAAGGCCAGGAGCCCCTAGTAGCGTTCTTGCTCCTAGTAGTAAGGCCAGGAGCCCCTAGTAGCGTTCCTGCTCCTAGTAGTAAGGCCAGGAGCCCCTACTAGCGTTTTTGCTCCTAGTATCCGGCTTGCCGCCTGTGTGCTGCCGACCCAAATTTGACGCGGTGGATTGAATATTGCGAGTGGCAGGTTGCATTCGTGGCGAAGGGAGGTCGGCCAGAATACATTTTTGAGTAAATAGAAGATTGAAATTATACCGGCATAGACCCCAGATAGCACTTCAAGAAAAGGATAGCATGGCAAGAGCGGGAGACAAGCTTGGGAGACATCCCACTCAAAGCCGGGAAAAGGATGGAAAAGATAAACAAGACCTAAATCATCTTATAACAGCATCCTTGTCAAAGGCGGCAGCGGCAGCCAAGAGCGAAATCAGGAACAGAGACAAGCTTGGGAACCACGGCCGCAGAGGCAGCCAAGAGTGAAATCTTGAAGGGAGACAGGCTTGGGAGACCAGGCGGCAGCGGCGGCCAAGAGCGAAGTTATGAAGGGAGACAAGCTTGAGAAACAAGACGGCAGCGGCAGCCAAGAGCGAAATCATGAAGGGAGACAAGCTTGAGAGACAAGGCGGCAGCGGCAGCCAAGAGCGAAATCATGAAGGGATACAAGCTTGGGAGACAAGGCGGCAGCGGCAGCCAAAAGCGAAATCATGAAGGGAGACAAGCTTGGGAGACAAG